CGAAGGCGGACAGCACCACCTTATCTACGCTGGATGACCTCCAGCTCGACATTGCGCTCTGAAATCACGAACGAGTCTGTGAGTTCTCCTTTCCCTCTCCCTTCCCCTATTTAAGGAGGAGATGCAGCAGTTGAAGAAGGGCAAAGGATTGGGGCGAAAAACCGTCTTCCTCCCCCCATTCAATGCGGATGGGAAATGACGGGACGCGCCCTGACCGATGGGACACACCCTGCCCGACAGAACAGCACCTGGTCAGACGGGACGTGGCCTGGGTATGGCCCACCACTACCGCACGCTGGGCGCGAGAAACAAAGCATCACCACGTGTAGGCGGCCCTTCGCCTTCCCAGGCGGGACTTAGAAAGGCCCAAACGATGGGATATCCGCCAGGAGAGACCAACGGGCTTCCTGAGTCGATCGGACGGCTCAGGCAAACGCCGAGAGACAGGTTAGGAGCAAAGGGACGCCCCATGTGGGCCATGTCGACTCCGTCATGAACAACGAGCGCGGATCCCGGTCAGACATTTCTGATTGGAGCTCCTCAAACCCCGTCACTCGAGTTATCAAGGTAACATTACCTACCCCCACTATTTCTTTATATAATCATTCATTCATCTATACATGCATTCATTCACTCCATACATCTAAGGCATCGCATGTGTAGTTAAATGCATCACAATGCTCCATGTTGTGTCACAAAGCGGCAGTTGCCTCATTCAACATGAGCAACGACCGATCGGGGTTCGAAGGCCGGCCCACGAAGGGCTCGAGGCCGCCTTGCGTCAAACAGAGCCAGGGGAGAAAACGTAGATGAACCCCGAGTGGCCCTCGCCTAGTCTGCCCCGAAGTAGACATGGTCATCTCAACCTTCTCGTTCGATCCTAACCTCTCACCAAACCCATAGAATCTCCATTGAGGGGAGGCCATCGGGCCACCTGGGTCGGTCTCTAGAAAAACCTAGGCATCTGCCGGGTTGTAGGTTAAGGAGTAGTGGAGTGTCACATGAGGGCTATGCCAACCCCATCACGAACGACGGACCCGGACTTTACTCGAACGTGCCCGTTAGGGAGCTCACCGAGCGCGTCACTCGAGCCATCGAGGCAAGCGACGTTAGCTCAGCCCCTCCGGTTGCGAGAAACCATGGACGGGGTAACGCACAGAACTCAACCGACCCCTATCAAAGCCTAAAGGGGCTCAGGGGCTCAAGATCCCTAAACTGCCTTGGCTGCGCATGACAGATCTATGAGTCCGCCACGCCCGATCCCTGGGCTACACCCGATGCCAGGATCCACGAGCTCCGTCTCACCCGATCCTAAAAACTGCCTCGGCTGCGCACGACAGGTCCACGAGTCCACCTCGCCCGATCCCTCGGCTGCGCCCGACGCCAAGATCTGCGAGCTCCGTCTCACCCGGTCCCTAAAAGCTGCCTCAGCTACGCACAACAGGTCCGCGAGTCCGCCTCGCCCGATCCGTCGGCTGCGCCCGACGCTAGGACCGCGAGCTTCGTCTCGCCCGATCCCTAAAACTGCCTCGGCTGCGCCCGACGCCAGGATCCACGAGCTCTGTCTCGCCTGATCCCAAAAATTGCCTCGGCTGCGCACGACGAGTCCGCGAGTTCGCCTCGCCCGATCCCTCGGCTGCGCCCGATGCCAGGATCTGCGAGCTCCGTCTCACCCGATCCCTAAAAGCTGTTTCGGTTGCGCACGACGGGTCCGCTAGTCCACCTCGCCCGATCTCTCAGCTACGCCCGACGCTAGGATCCGCGAGCTCCGTCTCGCCCGATCCCTAAACCTGCCTCGGCTGCGCCCGACGCTAGGATTCGCGAGCTCCGTTTCGCCCGATCCCTAAAACTACCTCGGCTGCGCCCGACGTTAGGATCCGCGAGCTCCGTCTCGCCCTATCCCTAAAACTGCCTGGGCTGCGCCCGACGCCAGGATCCACGAGCTCCGTCTCACCCAATCCCTAAAATTGCCTCGGCTGCGCCCGACGTCAGGATCCACGAGCTCCGTCTCGTCCGATCCTAAAAACTGCCTCGGCTGCGCACGACGAGTCCGCGAGTCTGCCTCGCCCGATCCCTCGGCTGCGCCCAACGCCTAGGTCCACGAGCCCGTCTCACCCCGATCCCAAAAAATCACCTCAGCTACACAAGGCGCCTTGGTTGATGACTCTGTCTCGACCAAGGTGCACGCACACACACCCGCCGACAAGACGAAATACCCCCTAGGCAATTCCGCCCAAATCACCCGGGGGCTCGGGGGCTACACTCGCGGGTGCGCTCGCGCGCACCCGCCGTCAAGGCAAAAATCCCCCACACGATTCTACCCGAATCGCCTGGGGTCTCGGGGGCTCCTATCGGGTTCATAAACTCGGGGTCCCTCTTGGACCGGCTTCCTAATAAAGGCTCGGCCCAGCAGACAACGTTGTGAACGACGCGCAACTCCTGGGCCGGCCCAAAAACATAAACGACAGGACAGGAGGGTGATCCAATCCCCGACCGGAAGGCTTGGCTGAGGAGGAACGACGCCCACTTCCGACTCCGGCCCGCCTCTCCGACCAAAATGCCTCGCTCAGGAGGAACAATGCCCGCTTGCGACTCTGGCCCGCCTCCGGACGGCCTCTCCGACCGGAAGGCCTGGCCAAACACCACTTCCGACACCGACCCGCGTCTCCGACCAGAGATGCGCCAAACCCCTGCTTATAGCTCTTGTCCGACTGGCGCAATCAGAGCCGACTGGGACCAACCGACCGGGGACGCCCGCTCTGTAAGGACCAGGAAACGGACAGAGAAAGTAAGGCAGGGCACTCAAGTCAACCGCCATACCGAGGACTGTACCCTGTACACCCGCTGGACAGTACTGTGTAACCTTCCTAGCATGTCAGAACCCAAGCAGTGTTGTAGGCGCCGATACTTTCCCTACAGTGTTGTGGGCGCCATCAACTCCCATACCAGACAAACATGGTAAGGCTCCCCCCACGTGCCTCTGGGCATCAAAAGTGTTGTGGGCGCCGGCATTTACTATACCAGGCAAATATGGTAAAAACCCCCTACATGCCTCTGGGCATCAACAGTATGGCAGGCACCGACGTCCGCCATACCAGAAGAAGATGACGCAACCTCCCACATGCATGTAACATTAACAGTGTTATGGGCACCTACAATCATCTTATACCCAACGGCGTGGGCAACAAGACTTAGCATACGTATACTCTCCCTCTCTCACTTGTAAGACCATCCCCTTCATATATAAAAGGGGATGCGCTCTCTCCGAAAAGGATGGGTCGATCAGTTCACTCACACACTACAACAGAACTGCTAGGTTCAAACCTCGAGCACACGCTCGAATAATTAGCATATAGCGGAGCTCCCGCCACTCTCGGCCCTTCGGACCGGAATCCAACCAGACCTCTTGCACCCCTATCTTTCTCCCTTCCGTTTGTAACCCCACAGCAAACTTCGAGCACCTGGGCTCAGGAATAAAGTCACCGACCGACTCAAACTGGACGTAGGGCACGTAGCCTGAACCAGTATAAACCCTGTGTCATTGAGTGCTAGGCCACCTCTGATTACTGCACCGACACGTAAAAACTTCGAAAAGTTAACTTGATCTCTAAACGAGTGCAAAGAAGAAAGTACCTACATAATTAGTCCGTATATATAAATAATAATTAGTATAAGTAGCTAAATTCAAAACTAAACTTTATGGAGAAATAGTAAATTTTCATACGACGGAGAAAAACATATTGGAGCGATATATATTATCAAAAGATAAAGGAAAAAAATAAATAAAGACTCCAATATGGATAGAATATGTATGGAAATAGACAACAGTAATATATAATTAAACCGCCGTTCCAACTGGATTTTGCCATATAGTAATAAGAATCAAGGAAACTACAAGAATGTCCTTCGTGGAGGCACACCAATGTCTTGGCATGTCCGTGGAAAATCACCGAAATACATTTCTCATAACGTCGCATCTTTTTCCTTTACGGTGCTCTATGCTTCGCCATCTTAATGTGCCTTCTCGTTGTCACTCTAAAATCGTGTTTGGTCCGTGGGACAAAATGAGATAGGACAAGACTAATCCCATTGTACTTGTGTTTGGTTCATATATAGCGGTATATCGCTCGTTATATAACCCTTTTGCCTTTTCTCGGCATTCTCAAACAAATGCTTGTGAACGACGCATCTCAGGACATTGCCATGCCGGGTTAGGAATTAGAGCTGGCTACATGTTTTGGATCATTGGATGTCTCGCTACGTTACCGGGGCATGTGCACTCGCTGGCTACTAGTTCTGCTTCTGCCCAAGCTTTTCCTTTCCTACCGTGAGCCAGCGGAATTGGCTCACTCGATCGGGGCTACCACCTCCCAGGATCTTCTCCCTTTTGCGGGGTTGCTGAAACAGGATGCCCGGTATCGTGCGCTAGTCAAGCTCCCCCCACCCCCCCACACACACACACTCCGCAAATGGTCCTTTCAAACGGCGCGTTCGCTGGTCGGTTTCTGAATTGATAAGTCCGGCTAGTGTTGATTTATTGTGAGAGAAGAAAAATATTGTTAGCTGATTGATAAGCCATGGCTGAAACAAAAAAATAAACAGGCTGAAAGTCAAGCCTGCCTGTCGATTGAAAAGTGAAAACGATAGAGACTTCGTATTTTTTCAAGAGTAATATGCATCGTGGGCCTTTGAACTTGTCTTGGGGTGCCACTTAGGTCCACAAACTCTCTAATCGTACTTTTGGCACCATAATATTGTTTAAGTATGTCACTTAGGTCCATAACTCATCGGAACAAGGTTTTGACCGACGTGGCGTGGACAGCGTGGCGCAAACGCAAGCTGCATGCACGAGCAGCCGCACAGGAACGTGCACGAGCCGCCGCCGCGCAGGCGAGCACGCGGCTGCGCACAGGCACGCGCGCAAGCCGCCGCCGTGCAGGCTAGCACCAGCCGCGGCCGCGCACAGGCGCGCGGGCGAGCCGGCTCCCAAACCGTGCCTGTCACGGGCTGCCGGGGTGCCGCGCTCGCGCCGTCGCCAGCCACCCCGGCCCTGCTCTGCTGGCTGCTGCGGCCTGCTCTGCTCTGCTGCTGTGTCGAGGAGCTGCCGTGGCTCGTCGGCGACTCGGCCACTCGGAGACTGGCGCCATGCCACGCGGAGCCTGGAGCCAGCCAGTGACGCGGCGAGACACAGGTGGGGCGAGCAGGAACCAGCCAATGAGCAACGCGGCCGCGACGCCGGCGGTGACCCCGATGAGCACGGCCATGCTGCTCCTATCGACCATCCCCGCTGCCGTGCGCCTCTCTCCAATCAGGCCGAATTAGACTTTGGCGCTTTAAGAAAAGTTGGAGATCTCGTGTAGCTCTACAACATTTGTTACTACCTCTTATGCCAAAACTAAACGGATTCGGAGTTAAGAGGGGACAAAGATTGATGTTTCCGTGTATTTTTGCGGTAGTATTGCATGAATACAGAGCGCGGCCTCAGGGACGACGGCAGCAGATCGCAGCGGCCCCACCGGGTGGCCGTCACCACCGTGTCGAAGTTGTCGTTCATGATGACGATGTCGGAGCTCTCCTTGGCAACCTCGGTGCCCTGGATGCCCATGGACAGGCCCACGTCGGCCTCCTTGAGCGCCGGCGCGTCGTTGGTCCCGTCGCCGGTGACCGCGACCACGTGGCCCCTCTGCTTCAGGCGCTGCACCAGCACCAGCTTGTCCATGGGCAGAGACCGCGCCATCTCACTGATGATTTCTTCCAGCTTCCTCCTCTTCCCCGCGTCGATTCGCGTGCCGCGCCGTCTGAACCAACATACGCAGAGCAGCTCGCCAAGACCATCTCCGCGGCGCCTTTCCAGTGCGCGGTCACCGCGCCAGTGGCGTTGTCCCTGATCATCACGCCGCTGCGCTTCTTGTCAGAGTTGAACGCCTCGACGTGCAACACCTTACAGCTCCTCTTCAATGCGTCGGCGTCCATGCCGAGGTCCGCCACGGCCCAGGACAGCAGAGCCTTCTCTGTCGGGCTGCCCGATATCTCCGGCGGCGAGACGTTGTCCGGCTTGTACACGCTTCCGGTGGTGTTGAGCCCTGCTCACTGGAGCAGCAAGCTGACGACGGCGCCGGTGACCTCCTTGGGTCGGTCGGTGCCGACCCAGAACTCCGTCACCTTCATCTGATTAAGCGTGAGAGTGCCTGTCTTGTCTGTGCAGATGGCGGTTACCGAGCCCATGGTCTCGCACGCCGAGAGCGTGCGCACCAGCGCGTGCTCCTTGACCATCCGCTTCATGGAGAAGGCAAGCGTCAGCGTCACCGCGAGCGGGAGGCCCTCGGGAATTGCCACCACGATGATGGTGATGGCCTGCTGGAAGATGCCAACGAGCGCGGTGAAGATGCTGTTGAAGGTGACGTGCTGCCTGTCGAACGTCGGCTTGCCCTGCTCGTCCCTGGTGCTGCCGGTGAAGTGGCGCGCGGTCACCGGCGACGGGGCTCCTCGACACGGTAGCAGAGCAGAGCAGGCCGCAGCAGCCAGCAGAGCAGGGCCGGGGTGGCTGGCGACGGCGCGAGCGCGGCACCCCGGCAGCCCGTGACAGGCACGGTTTGGGAGCCGGCTCGCCCGCGCGCCTGTGCGCGGCCTCGGCTGGTGCTAGCCTGCACGGCGGCGGCTTGCGCGCGTGCCTGTGCGCAGCCGCGTGCTTGCCTGCGCGGCGGCGGCTCGTGCATGTTCCTATGCGGCTGCTCGTGCATGCAGCTTGCGTTTGCGCCACGCTGTCCACGCCACGTCGGTCAAAACCTTGTTCCGATGAGTTATGGACCTAAGTTGCATACTTAAACAATATTATGGTGCCAAAAGTACGATTAGAGAGTTTGTAGACCTAAGTGGCACCCCAAGATAAGTTCAAGGACCCACGATGCATATTACTCATTTTTTCAAAGATGATGGCAGCCGTGTTCGTGTAGCGGCGACGGGCGCTACATGGTTCATGTATACTTGGCCATCGGGCTGGCCCGGCTCAAGCACGGCCCGGAGGATGTCAGATCGGGGACGCGGCACGCGCCGTGCCTCCGTGTCTGCGTGCCACACGGGCCTCGTGTCTTGCCTCCGGCCCGAACCGCGGCACTATGGGCCGATTTTACGTGCGTCGGCAGCCGCAGGAGGCACGGCCATTTTCACAGTCGTGCCAAACCCGAGGCCCACGAAAGGGAAGGAGAGCGGAGGCAGGCGCGCCACGAGGCGGCCGCCCGGCAGCCTTCGCGCCTAGAGGCACATCCGGCCGCCAAGACACGCCGCGCCACGGAGGTGGGGCGGCGTGGGGGCGCCACAGCATGAGGAAGACGGATGCGCGCTTGAACCCTAGAATCCTAGATCCGCCACCGGTGAGCGCGCCCCACAGCAGATGCCACCGCCTGGCCGCCTTGGGCTCATGGGATCCGAGGAGAGGGGGGGGGGCGCCACCGTCACCGGCTTGCTTGGATCTGAGAAGAGGGTGCCACCGTCGGCTGCTCACCGTGACTCGAGGGAGAGGGAGGAAGACTGGAGGACAGCTGCAGCATGCAGTGAGGAGGACGACGGATCTCGGGGCACCGGATCTGCGTCAGGCGGAGCTTCGGGGCAGCGCTAGGTTCGGGGTGGCGTGAGGAGAGGCGGAGAGCCGGGAGAGGCGCGGCGTCGGTGAGGGGTGAGGGAGAGCCGAGAGGAGGGCGCGCGCGGTGAGGCGTGAGGGAGAGGAGGGAGGGCGCGGGGTTGGGGTGAGGCGTGAGGCCGTGAGGAGAGAGGCGGAGAGGAGCGCGCGCGGTGCTAGGGTTCGGTGGCGGCGTGAGGAGCCGGCCGGTGGTCGCTATATATGAGGGGGTAGCGGGCGGGGACGGCGTGGGCCTTGGGGAGGGAGGGCGCGGTGGTGGTCGTGGTGCAGGCCGGGCCGCTTAGCGGCCGGGCCTGCTCAGAAGGGTCGTGCCGTGCGTACCGCCCACGTGCCTAGGGTAAGGCCCAGTCACGGCCTGCTCCGTCGGGCCGGGCCAGCCCGGGCCCGCTAGCCTCCGTGCCGGGCCGTGCTCGTGTCGGGCTAAAAAAGCGGGCTCCGTGCCGTGCCGTCGTGCCTCGGGCTGCATGGCCAAGTATAGGTTCATGGTCGAGGGAGCGCGACAGAGAGATGACCGGGTCGATAAGGTGGGTCCAACCCCACCAACCGAGGGAATTCCACTCGCCATCATCGATCGACGACGCAGCACGTCGACAGCTGAAACCTTTCCCATTCGGACCACCATGACATATGGCGCCTCGCATGCTGAAAGCTGAATGGAGATTATTTATAAAAATATGTATATAGATACATACAATCGCATTCTACTTGTACATTTAGACACACGTACTACGTACACGAAGCTCACGGCGACACTGACAACGTCTAACAGGTTTTTACACGAAGTCACAATGACAGCCCAGTCTGTCCAGTCCAAAGGCAGGCAGGCAGGGGCAGCTGAAAAGAAGTGGGAAACCAAGGAAACTTCTTCCGGTACGACGAGACAAGAGGATGCTTCGCCTCCATTCCATGGATCGCATTCGCATCCATGCACTACACTACACCACGGCAACAACCACAATTATTCGTATAGCTTTATTCGGTTCGTCCAGAGCCCTTGCTGTACCCGTAGGCCCAACTTTTTCACTCGGCAATTCATCATGCACGGTACTCGATCGCAAAAATAATCATGTGACACGGGGTTAGCACCGCCGTGCGGCGTGCATTATTGGCCTCCCCCGGTGTACACGCATGCGCCGTAGCCTGCAGAGATCGGAGAGAGAGAGAGAGAGAAATGAGTTAGATTTGCTCGAAGAAAAAAAGAACAGATGCCCCGTTCGGCTTACGGGGCTCGCTGAAACCTGAGTTTGAAAGTGGCTGAAACACTATTTTTGTTGAATGGGGCATAAAGACAACACTCTCCGGCAAGAAAATGATTGCTGACGCTACACGTACTGCCTCCGTAACATAGAGCTTGTTCGCTAGGTTTCTAGCATGATAAGGCTGGCTGATAAACCCTAATACAAGCGAACAGGCTGAAAGTGGGCAGTACAACAACAAGCAAGCACAGAGATACGGACGCGTAGATAACCCGAAGATGAGTCGTGACTCATGAGTGTAGGAGTACGTGCGACTACAAGACTAGCAAAGCAAACTTGGGCACTATCACAGTGTTATTACTCTGAGACTGTGATCACGCATGGACTAGTAAAGTCTTTTGCAGCGAACTATCAGCACATGGACAATGGATGATGGAAAGGAGGACACCAGGATGAGCAAAGCTGGTTTCCTTTTTATCATGCACATGTCATGTCACCATTGTCATGCTCGTGCATGCAGCAGTGCAGCAAGATCTGCATGGACAAAGCCCAACAAATCAGGCCATGTCGGCGCCCTGCCTGCCTAGCGAGCAGCGACGGCTGACGACGCTCCGTGACGATTATCACGAAGCATGATGATGCGTGCGGACGATTAATTCGGCGGGCCATGATTCCCTTCCTTCCATGAACAAGAACAAATTGCAGAGCAAGAGAGATTGGAAGGGGAGACAGGGCCGACGCGGGCACATGTAACGTACTTGGGTTTTCGGAGGTGAGCGCGGCGGACGCCCGGAAGTCGCAGTTCCACGGGTGCCGCCCGGCCGCCTGGTACAGCTGGTTCATGGCGTACGCGGCGTGCGCGTGCACCGTGTTGGGCTCGAAGCACGCGCCGCCGGGCTGGATGGCGCCGCAGTCGACGCCCAGCTGCGAGCACGCGTAGTCCAGGTCCGCCTGCAGCTCCGCGTCCGAGGCGCCGTCCCGCGCCACGCACCACCCGCCGGCCTGCTTGGGCTGCGCCGGCCCTCCTCCCCCTGCCGCCGGCGTGGAGGAGGTCAGCCCGGCGTCGTACGCCATGGTCAGGTCCGTGTGGTACAGCCCGAACGAGCGCTCCGACGTGGGCCCAGGCTTGAGGTCCTCGTCGTAGAGCGCGAACAGGTACGTCTCCACCGACTTGCCCGGCATCAGCGGCGTGCCGGCGCCGGACCGCAGGTGCGCCACCAGGTTGGACACGTACGCCCTGGCGTTCTCCGCCGTGGCTCCAGGCTCCCCGGCGTCGCCTTTTGTCGGCCACCCGGTCTCGGCCACCACGATGTCCACGCTCCCGTACCCGGCGCGCACCAGCGCCGACTTCACGGCGTCCAGCTGCGCGTCGAACATGTTGGTGTACCTGATCCTGGACCCGCCGTCGACGCGCCCGGCGTTGGGCTGGAACAGGCAGAACGACAGCGTCTCCGGCCGCGGGTCCGACTGGTACGCGAACCACGGGTACGGGTTGATCATGAAGGGCGCGCCGGTTCGGCTGAGGAACGCCAGGATCTGCTGCAGCTGCGGCGCCACGTCCGGGTGGAACGCGCCCGTGGACGGCGGGTCCGACTGCGCCATCACGCCCATGGTGTTGACGGTCGAGAACCTGATCCCCGCCGCGCCGTCCCCGGCCGCGGCGGCCGCGGCGCGGAGGTTCTGCATGGCCGGCAGCAGCGCCGCGGCCAGGGACGCGTCCCCGGACTCCAGCACCTCGTTGCCGACGGCCACGGTCGAGATGGTGGTCGCCGGGACGAAGGGCAGCACGTTCGCCGCCAGCCACCGCGACGCCGCCGCCGGGTCGGCGGCCAGCGAGGGGATGTCGCCGTTCGCCACGCCGACGACGACCGAGATGCCGGACCCCGCCAGCGCCCGGATCAGCCCCGCGTCCACGCCGTAGAGACGCACCTTGGAGATGGATGTCGACTTGAGCAGCTTCGCCGTCTCGTCCGGCGACGGCAGGTTGTCCGCCACCTCGCCGTAGTTCACGCCGATGTACGGCTGCGCTCCTGCTCCTGCACGCGCGCAATGTGGCGCAAACAAATCCGCTCCCGCATCACCAATCGATCGAGTACAACGACACAAAACAAAACTAAAGCTGCCAGCCGATAAATATAGAGGATAAATGGATAATCCTCCCCCAACCCAATCCCTCAATCAACCACCACCCAGAAAAGAGACGAAATCCATTCCAGTTCCAGAAGAACTTTACGGCGGGCGGGCAAAGCCCGGATTTCCTTCCCGATATGCCAACTTTCCGTGCACTTCTCGGGACTCGCGATCGAGATCGATGCTCCGCGAAAAGGAAAAAAACAAAGGAGATAAAAAGAGATTACTACTACTGCTAGTAGTGGTAAAAGAAAGAGACAGATTGGTGCTACTCACTCGACGCGCAGACGAGGCAGATGAGCCAGATTGGCAGCAGAGCGGCGGCGGGCTTCCTCGCCGCGGCGCCCATGGGGATTCGTCACCTGTCAGAGCCCAGAAGAAAGGGATTGGAGGAGAGGATTTGGGGGAAAGGGACGAGCTGCCGCAGCAGAACGAGGCCGCCAAGTGTGAGCTGAGCTCAGCCAGTGTTAGGATTAGATTAGGAGTGGAGCCGTTAAAACGTGGACGTGGCGCTAGCACGAAGGCCCCACCGTGGCGTGCGGCCGCCGGACACGGGGTAGCTCAGCCCAGTGTAAGGAAGGCACCCGGTGTCTGGAGTACGTACCTGTACCGGAGCCTTGACTTGAGAGTGCGGGGCGGCTGTGCGAGGACGCGCGCTGAGCTGTGGCCACGTGCGTGGGCCGTGGCGCGTGGACGGCGGTCGGATCGCTGGACCCTGGTGGAGGCGACGGCGGCAGGGCTGCGGTCTGCGGATGCGGTGGGTGTTAAAAAGAATATCCAGGATCACAACAATATTTAGTTGATTGATGGTTGATTGATATCTTTTAAAGATTGATTGTGCGTTCAGGCTTGGATTACGGGTGAAGGCAAGTATCACGGCTTCAGTTAGATAGGGTAGATATCTTCTGATTGATGTAATCTTGTGATGTAATCTAGAGTTATCAAAGTAGTTAGCTTCTTTTTGTTGTATAAGTTGTACCGCCACGCTAGGGACTCTTTCTGGCTATATTAACACGAAGCCGTGAGCCTGAGAGGACATCACTTTCCAACCATTTTCACATGGTAATCAGAGCTAGGTTAGTCCACAATATTCTCAATGGCTTCCTCTTCCGTGCTTCAACAATCGTTCTCTCTGATCAGTTGTCCCGTCACCGAGAAGCTAGGCAAAGGGAATTTTCTCCAATGGAGCGCCCAGGTGCTGTCTGCTCTTCGCGGTGCGCAGATAGCGCACTATCTAGAGCCCGGCATTGTGGTGCCGGCAAAGCAGATCCCCAAGGCGGCCGACAAGCCGACTGAGCTCATCCCCAACCCTGAGTATGAAACTTGGGTTGCGAAGGACCAACAGATCATTAACTATCTGCTCTCCAATATCTCCAAGGAGATCCAGGTGCAAGTCTCCAATTGCGCCACATCGGCCAAGATCTGGAAAGTGATCTCAGAGATGACGGCTTCCCAGTCTCGGGGCCGTATCATCAACATGCACATGGCGTTGGCCACAGCGCAGAAGGGCTCGTCTCAATCGCCGACTACTTCAACAAGATGAAATCTCTTGCTGACGACATGGCGGTCGCCGGCAAACGTCTTGAAGATGAAGAGACCATCTCCTATGTACTAGCCGGACTTGACATGGATTTTAATCCGATTGTCTCGGTTGTCGCGGCACGCACAGAGCCGCTATCTTTGGGCAAGCTCTACACCCAGCTAGTGAGCTGGGAACAGCGGATGGATCTCCTGCACGGTGGATCCGGTTCATCTACTAACACGGCTACACGTGGAGGCCATGGCGGTTTCAACCGCAGCGGTGGTGGCCGAGGACGCGGGCGCGGCCGCAACCGTGGCAACAACAACAACAGCGGGCGCCCCCGGCAGAACTACAACGACGATAAACCCATCTGCCAGCTCTGCGGCAAGAAGGGCCACACCGAACTCCGCTGCTTCAAGCGTTTTGACGCTTCCTTCACCGGCCCACCAGAGCAATCCCGATCTGTCTCCTCTGCGTCATATGGGATCGACACCAACTGATACATCGACACTAGTGCTACCGACCACATCACGGGAGAGCTGGAGAAGCTCACCGTGAGGGACAAGTACCATGAAAACGACAAGGTTCATGCTGCTAATGGCGTAGGTATGAGAATCAATCAAATTGGTCGAAGTTTTGTTCGTACCCCAAATTAAAATCTTGTCCTAAACAATGTTCTTTATGTTCCTGAAGCTAACAAAAGCCTTGCATCTGTTCATCGTCTTACATCCGATAACCATGCTTTTATTGAATATCATCCCAACTATTTTTTGATTAAGGACCAGGCAACGAAAAAAAACCATCCTTAGAGGGGAATGTGAAGGCGGCCTCTACCCGTTAAAGTCTACGCCGTCATCGAATAAAGGGGCATTTGGTGCTGTCAAGTCTCCTTCGTCCAGGTGGCATAGTCGTCTCGGCCACCCTTCTTTTGCAATCGTTCAATAAGTCCTTAGCAAAAATAGTATTCCCTTTGTTGCCGATTTGAATAAAGAAACTATTTGCGATGCTTGCCAAAAGGGCAAAAAAAATATTCAGCGTCAAACGAACTAAATCTGGCTGAAAACGGGCGTCATTTCATGCTCCCCGAGCAATTTCCCGTTTTGGCAGGAACAGGCGGCGATCCCCAGGCTGATTCACCTGCACCTTCCACTGTGGAGCCGACAGGATCGGTCTTGGATCCGACGGCGTCAGCTCCTGCGCTAGTGACGAACACGTCAGCTCCACCAGCATCCTCTCCATGTGCGCCACGTGTCTCGAACTTGCCTCTCCTAGCTCCGCGGACGGGGGGACATGATATTTCGACCGATGGTGGAGAATCTCCCTTGGGTCCGTCGCTTGCCGGATCTTCTGCGCCAGCCACAGATCAACCCACCGGATCTTCTACGCCAGCCACAGATCAACCCACCAGATCTTCTACATCGCCTGCAGCACCGGCTCTCCAGCGACCCACCACACGTCTACAACAAGGTATACGTAAACCAAAAATTTACACTGATGGAACTATTCGATATGGTCAGTTAGCAGCCTCCACTGAAGGTCCTATTGATTTGCAACATGCCTTAGTCGATAATAATTGGAAGCGTGCTATGGATGTTGAATTTGATGCATTGAGCAGGAATAAAACTTGGCATCTAGTTCCACCTCAAAAAGGTAAAAATGTGATAGATTGCAAGTGGGTCTATAAAATCAAAAGAAGATCAGATGGAAAAATTGACAGATATAAGGCACGCCTAGTAGCAAAGGGGTTCAAACAATGATATGGCATTGATTATGAGGACACTTTTAGTCCTGTTGTGAAAGCAGTCACAATTTGTCTTGTGCTCTCTCTAGCTATGTCTAAGGATTGGTGTTTGAGGCAACTCGATGTTCAGAACGCTTTCTTGCATGGTTTCCTTGAAGAAGAGGTATACATGAAACAACCGCCAGGTTATGAAGATAAGACCAAACCACATCACTTATGCAAACTTGACAGATCCCTGTATGGTTTAAAACAAGCACCACGGGCCTGGTATTCTAGGTTGTGTGGTAAACTTCAGAGTCTAGGCTTGTTCCCTCCAAAGCTGACACATCATTATTCTTTTATCGGAAAGGAAATCATATCATCTTTATGCTTGTATATGTTGATGATATAATTGTGGCCAGTTCATCATAGGAAGCAGTGGATGCTCTTCTCCGAGATTTAGAGGAGGACTTTGCAATTAAAGATCTCGGGAACCTTCACTATTTTCTTGGCATACAGGTTCAAAGAAAGAAAGGTGAATTGCTTTTGACATAGAAACGGTATGCTTCTGATATCCTCAAGAGAGTTAATATGCAGCTGTGTAAACCCATCAAAACACCCCTTAATACTACCGAAAAGATTTCAGTCACTAGTGGCACTCGGTTAGATGTGGAGGACTCAACCAGATATAGGAGCATTGTTGGAGCTCTCCAGTATCTCACCCTCACACGACCAAATCTGTCTTTTTCGGTCAACAAAGTTTGTCAATTCCTTCACTCACCGACGATCGTTCATTGGGAAGCTGTGAAGAGAATATTGAGATATGTACAAGGAACAATCGGCCTAGGGTTAAAAATTAGAAAATCTAACTCTATGCTTGTAAGTGCTTTTTCAGATGCTGATTGGACCGGTTGCCCTGATGACAGACGATCTACAGGTGGCTTTGTTGTATTCCTAGGTTGCAACCTAGTGTCATGGTGCGCAAGAAAACAGCCTACGGTTTCAAGATCAAGTACAGAAGCTGAATACAAGTCTTTGGCCAATGCTACTGTAGAGGTAATATGGGTACAAAAATTACTTGATGAGTTAGGTATTCCACATCCTTTGGCAGCGTGTTTATGGTGTGATAATCTTGGCGCAAAGTACCTATCGGCTAACCCTGTATTTCATGCACGCACCAAGCATATAGAGATCGATTTTCATTTTGTACGCGAACAAGTTGCAGCAAAGTGCCTGGACATCAGATTCATCAGCACTACGGATCAGATCGTCGATGGCTTCACTAAGCCTCTTCCAGAGAAGCAAATGGTCATGTTCAGAGACAATCTCAACCTCGCTGATAAGTTGTGATTGAGGGGGGATGTTAAGAATATCCAATAGGATCACATGACCGCAATATATGGTTGATTGATATCTCCTGAAGATTATCTGGTTGATTGATATCTCCTAAAGATTGGTTGTGCTCTCAGGCTTGGATTACGGGTGAAGACAAGTATCACGGCTTCGGTTAGATAGGATAGGTATCTCCTGATTGATGTAATCTTGTTATGTAATCTACAGTTATCAAAGTAGTTAGTTTCTTCTTATTATACCAGTTGTACCGCCACGCCAGAGACTCTTCCTAACTATATTAACACGAAACCATGAGCATAAGAGAACGTCACGTTCCAACCATTTTCACGGTGGGAGCACCTCCGACAAGGCTCCCAGAGGTAGAGGACGATGGAGGGAGGACCGGAGGAACGGGCCGGAGCGAGCCGTTAGCCCGTTACGCGTGGCTGATCATTGCGGCTAATAACAGAGCCTCCGCACCATGTTCCAATTTTCACTTTCTGTACTGTGCGCGGGGTAACTTTTTTTGGTTGAGGTCGTCCGGAGTGGATTGATCATGTGATGGCGTAGGGACAAACGCACGGGCACGGCCGCACCAATGGCTCTGTGGCTTTCTTTCGTACGAGTATGAATGTATGATACTCCTAGTTTGTACTGTATGAATTGTACTGCCGCGCAATGGATTGCGCTTTTTTGCAAGGAACAAAGTGATTTCGTGTACCAATGGTCTAAGCGCGTGGGCTCCAAGCTCGCACGGAGTAGCTGCGTTGTGCGG